AGGTTAAACAAGCCACAAGGTGGTGACAGCGACAGGGGAGTGAATCGGGAATCGTTTGGCGATACTGTTCCGCGTTCCGCTGAAGTGAATCGTGAATCGCGTTCCGCAGGAAAGAGTGACGATTCAGTTCCGTTCTTGCGCTCGTGACCCAGCCCTATTGTAGAGAGGCTGCACTGTAGGCCCACCTTGAATAGGTCAGTGCGCTCAATACGTTGAATTAGAATTTTATTTTGTCGCGACGTACCAAGAGCCAGCAGGGAGTGAATGCTGTAGAACGGATCTTTAAATTATTACCATATTATCAAATGTGAAGCATGTTGGCAAAATGAGTTACTTCTCGGATTCAAGCCTTTAAAAGGAAATAGATACTTCATGATTATAGGTGAAATTTTTACAATTTATAAGTATGAAATAGTAAAAGAATATAATGGCATCAATAGAAAAATCTACAAATTTGTCCCTGATGTCGATTTTTGGCTAATATCTTCATAATTTGTGGATTGCGAGGAGTAACTCATTTTGTCAGCACGCCTCACAAATGCACACTGCTCACTTTCCCCCCCCCCCCTCCCTCTCCACTCCCTCAATCTGTGAGAAGCAATGAATGAGATAATATTCTGTACCTCCACTGACTCTGTGAAACAATCAATGAGATAATATTCTGTACCTCCTCTGACTCTGTGAAACAATCAATGAGATAATATTCTGTACCTCCACTGACTCTGTTAAACAATCAGTGAGATAATATTCTGTACCTCCTCTGACTCTGTGAAACAATCAATGAGATAATATTCTGTACCTCCACTGACTCTGTGAAACAATCAGTGAGATAATATTCTGTACCTCCACTGACTCTGTGAAACAATCAATGAGATAATTTCTGTACCTCCATGGTCTCTGTCAAACAATCATTGAGATATTATTCTGTACCTCCACTGACTCCGTGAAACAATCAATGAGATAATTTCTGTACCTCCATGGTCTCTGTCAAACAATCATTGAGATATTATTCTGTACCTCCTCTGACTCTGCCAAACGATCAATGACATACTATTCCCTACCTCCCCAGAGGTGTGAAGGCCACGCTGTGGGAGGGCGGGGTGCGGGGTGTGGGTTTCCTGCACAGCCCACTCCTGCACACTCAGGGCTATGTCTCCGAGCAGATGCTCCACGTCTGTGACTGGCTACCCACGCTGTACGCAGCGGCCGGGGGTGACCCCTCCACTCTACACAACCTGGACGGCTTCAACGCCTGGGACATGCTGAGTCGAAATTCCAGTGGGGTTCGAACTGAGATGCTTCACAACATTGACCCTATCGGAGACTTTGCCGGTGTGCGTGTGGGTGACTACAAGCTGTTGATCGGTGACGTTGGCATGAGATGGGATGGCTGGTATCCTCCTTATCAGCTTGCTGGCGATGAGATCACGCTCAACTATTTGAACTTCACAGACGATCTCACGGAAAGCGTCACACAAGATAGCCGCAGACGAGAGCTGGAGCAGAAATATCGCGAGTATTGGGGGCCAGAGATTTTGTCGAGACTTGAAGATTTGCACTCGTCTGGTAAAAAGACTGGTGCGGAGCTGATGTTCCACTCGGAGAAATCTTTGGGCCAGGTGTCCAGCACGAACTGGGACAGGGTCCGGGGCACGCCCGTGCGCATTGAGTGTGGTGTGAAACCGGCAAATGCCAGCACCAACTGTGACCCGCGCAAGTCGCCATGTTTGTTCCACATCCCGACTGACCCGTGCGAGTACAACAACATTGCTGAGAGCCACACGGAAGTGGTGAGTACCACTCTCCTAGTGTGACCAAACTTGATACTCATCTTTTTTTTCTGCTTTCCTCATAGTCTATTTCTTCCGATCTATTTCTCTGCTTTCCTTTTTATCTATATCTTTCCAAGTTTTCCATCAGATCTATTTCTTTCCCTGTTTTTCAGGAAACTTTCTTGGTCCTGATTTCAGCAGCAGTCTGTCCTGAAAACTAAGATATTTGGGCCTTAGCATGTGTAAACATTTTTGCCGCTGTCACACAAAAAAATGTAGCAGTTGCCGTGTCAATTCTCCTAAATGTCTTGTCAAGTGAAACGGCTCTACTAGGATTACTTTGTTGGAAATGTGCATGTTTGTGGCAGTGGTACCCATTGACCTGTTTTCCCTTTGGCGGTCCTGAGTTTGTCATGGTGGTATTTAGTACAGTCTACCATGCCCAAAGCGGAATCAGCGGGATGCTGTTTGAAATCATTTCGTTTATTGTGTAGCTTATGAATTTTGCCGTTTTGATGTAAAGGAAATAACATGTGCGTAACGTATTTTTATATTAAGCAAGGACAAATTTTGGACGTGAAAATCTGTTTGCTGTGACTAGTGTGACTGCATTCGCTACGTGTGCGTGTTTGCTATCATGTGTGTATTCACTGTGTGTATGTTCTGGTGAAGGGAGGTTTGGATGTTTCATTTTTTTTGTTTGGGGGGGGGGGGGGGTTTTTTTTTTAAAAAA